CTGCGTTCTTCCCTCCTTCCCGCCCTCCCTCCTTCTCTCCTCCCCTCCACTCCCCTCCCCTCCCGGTGCCCGGGGACACGCGGGCCCAGCTCCAGCCCGCAGCCCAGACCCCACGCGCTCCCGGGCTCCCGCCCCAGCCCTGGGGGCTCGGCTCCAGCCGAATAATGTATTCACTCTGCAACCTTCTGAGATGTCTTCTCTTTTTTTATTTGGTTTACTTTTTTGTTGGGCGTGCGTGTGATTTAAAAGAGAAAGAAAGAAAGAAATCTGTGCCTTTCCCACCCTTTGCAAAAGACTTTCTTCTCCTTTGCCACAGCAAACGGAGATGAGAAACAGATGTCTTTGCAGGACCAAGCAGTTATTCTCCCCTCGCCGCCCGCGCCCGCCCCCGCCCCCGCCCCTCTGGAGCTGTAGGAGCTGTATATGTATAAAAAAGCAACCTTGGTCAGACTGCAACTTGAATTGGTAACTCCTTCTGGGTGGGGAGCCTCAAGGGAAAGCCTCCAGGAAATAAAAAAAAGTAATAAAGGAGGCTGTCCTTGGTCACAAGAATTTAATTTAAGCCCCGGAATCACATTATTTTGCAAATAGTAATTTTCCCCTATATTGGACTCAACTGGAGTTTGTGTTTTGAAACATTAATTCATAACTTCTGTCTAGGGACCCCTCCATAGTCGAGATGGGTCATTTCAGGTGTAATGAACACAGGCTTGGAAGGCATAGACCTAATAAAATGGGGGGAAGGCACCTGCACGAAAGTGATACAAAGACTGTAATGTTTGTTTACTGCTACTATGCCAGATGTGCTAAATATAACACTTCTTTAAAGCAGAGATCCTCCGACTGTGAAAAACCAAACCTCTTGCTGCCTGGCTCCCTAGGAATCAAGAGGAGGCACAGACTGAAAATCAGGGAGAAAAGGAACAAGATCAAGGATGAGGATTAGCATCTGCAAATTGAACCCTATCTAATTTGCATGTTTATTTCTTAGAATTGTAATTAAATTTGTGTAATAAATGTTTTCCATTTCATTTGTACGCTTAAAATTTGGGTGACTGACATGCAGTTAAGTGAATTTCTTTTTTTTTTAAAGCAAATGTAGTTTATTCAATAAGGCAGCAAACAAATATTAAACATAATTAGAACTAATCTGCTTTGAAGGTATTTTTGCTGAACTTTGTACATTAAAGACTCTCAAAGGTTTTAAGGGTATTAGGAAGCTGAGAGAAGGCAATTATGCTGAAAACAGACTAACTCAACAGACTTCCAGGAGCACTATTTCATTTTTTCCAAAAGGCATTTCAGGGTTGCATGCCTAGGATTGGGAATTGGGCATCCATCTTGGCTTTATTCTGAACCAGATTAAATTGCATTGGCTCATGCACGATATATAGGCCATTATGATGATAATTTAAGAATTGTAAAGATTCTACCCAGGTTATGGATAGAATGCAATTTTCATTTAGGTGGGGCGAGGAAAGGCACAAGGGCATTTAAAGCAGTGCAAGTACTTGAAAATCTAAGTGTCTAAAACTGGTTAGTGTCTAACTCAAATAAAGAACTAAATGTGAGGGCTTGGAGGCATGGCTTATTATTGTTTTTATCTCCCTGTATTAAAGTTTTATAGCATTTAAAGGACTATGGGGAAATCCCCACATACCCTTAGCTGTGTCAAAATACATAAAACCAAAAGGAGCAAATTAAGCATAAAATTGAGAAAAACATGAGAATTAAGTATCAGCATGGGTTGCATTGGCATCTTTGGAGCCTTGGCTCTGAGAAATGAGCCTTCTGGGATACTGGCATTGCCCTTGGGTGGGGAGGACTCTTGGCTTTAATGTTACGAGAAAATGACATCATAACAGAAGTATGAAATCATTCTGCTTCACAGCACCCTTGTGGTTCTGAGTAAGAACTTGACCCTGTCCTGTTCAGATATGTTAGGTTAGCATGTTTTACCGAAAGCTTTCCCTGGCCTACTTTTAATCTCATGCTTAACGTTTGCAGAAATTCAGGGCCCAACCGTTGACAACACGAACTAATGTCTACAGGCAGAGGAGGCAGTCAAATGTCCGTGGAATGAGAAACATCATTTAAAAATTTCAAGTGAGTAAGTGGTGGCTATGGCACAAGGAAAGGACTCACTCACTATACATCAATAATGAAATATTTGGAATGAATGAATGTAATTTATGAGTTGCAATATTCAACCTGAGAGCTCTGATGTCATCATTCTTGGATGTGTGTGCGTGTGTGTTTGAAGTTCCAAGACAAAAGTTTGATTATGAAACTTAAAATATCTTGAGCTGCAAACTCACTGAAGACCGTGATTGTTTTTCTTCAGTGAACAAAGAGAGTGCCAGACTTAAAGCTGCTGAAACCCATTTCTCAAAAACTTGTTATCATTTGAAAGGGGGATTTCTCAAGTAAAATTTGACGTATTCAGATTACTGTGGACACAGTGCCCATTTGGGTTATAAAAAGTCGGAATTACTGGCATTTTTTAAAAAGTGCAACCTGTTTTAACAACAAAAAGAGATATCTAATATTAAATCTCTCCAATTCCTCTTCTCTTATTCTCAAACCTTCTCTAATCAGGCTTTCTTATCCCATCACTCCATTGAAACTGTTATTGTCAATGACACCAGTGACCTCTGGGTTGCTAAATCCAAAAGGCTTTTCTTGGTTCTCCTCTTTCTTGACCTGTAAGCAGCATTTGACCAGGTTGATCACTCTCTCTTCCTTGTAAACTTATATCCTGTTTCCGGGACAACATACACACCTGGTTTGCTTCCCACCCTACTGGTTCTTCCTTCTCAGTCTCCTTTACTGATACTCTGTGACCTCTGAAAGCTTTAGTGCCTCAAGCCCAGTCATTGAACCTTGTCTCTTCCTTTTAACCACTCTCTTGTGGAAATCACTCAGTCTCATAGCTTCAAATACTGTGTATATTCTGATGACTCCCAAATTTAGATCTCCAGTCGAGATTTTTCTCTTGATCTCCAGACTCCACTTAGATGCTTAATAGACATCAGAGGATTTACAGATCCAAAACCAAATTCCCGATTGTCTCTGTTTCCCCTTCCTTAATATTCTCCACTACAGTTAATAAACCACACTATAGCTTTGGAGTCATCCTTGACTCTTTTTTTTCCTTTACAGCCTACATCTAATACATCCAAAAATCCTTAAGGCTCTACCTTTAACGTTTTTCTAGACTCTGATCACTTCTCATTATCTCTGCTGCCACCACCCTGGTCCAAGTCACCATCATCACTCTTGCCCGGGATATTGCAGTAGCCTCCTCCTTGCTTCAGTCTCTGGTCCTTTCTACGTTCATTCTCAACCCAATAGCCAATGATGTCAATTTTTGCTCAGACTCTTCCTAACGCTCTCCATTTCACTCAGTGTAAAAACCACATCCTTACGATGGCCTACACAGGCTACAAGTTTCCCTTTACTTCTCTGACCTCACTCTGTCTCCAGCTACTTTGGCTCCAGTGTGTCAGGCCTGTGCTTACCTCCAATTTTTTCTGTTCCTCCAGTGTGTCGGGCCTGTGCTTACTTCAGGACATTTGCACTGGCTGTTCCCTCTGTCTGAATGCTCTTTCCCCAGATAGATGCACAGGTCAACGCTCCACCTCTTCCAAGTCTTTGCTCACATATCACCTTCCTAACAAAGCCTGACCAATCTGCTCAAAATTCTAACACCTAATCTCCATATCTTATTTTATTTTTATCCAGAGAATTTATCACCTTCTAATAAGTTCTATATTTTATATATTTATTCTATTTATCACTTATCCCTTCTCACTAAAAAGGTCCTTGAGGGCAGGGATTTTTGTCTTTTTTATTCACCCCTATATCTCCAGCACCTAGCACAGTGCCTGGCATACTGAAAGCACTCAAAAATTATGTACTGATTAACTGAGCAATTAACTGACAGTTTCACATATGTACAGAAACCCAAACAAGGCTAAAATAGAGCTACTTTAGTCTAGTGTATGTAGAGTGGTGAAACAGGCAGTTCATTTTATCACCTACTCATTTGCCTATTCTAGAATTCTCTGACCCAGTGCTCTTATCTGCCCTGCAGCATTCCAGGACCTGAAGACACTCCCAAGATCCCCAAGCACCCAAATTGTTTCATGCTGTCCTGCCTTCACTGAAAGTCCCCAGTACCATGTTTTCATCCAGGTGGGTGCTCGTGCTCTGGACCAGCCCTCCTTTCCGCCAACGCAGATTTCCATCCATTGCCAAGATGCTTGTCCTAAGCCGTAGTCTTCAGGTTACAAAGTATGTAAAGTTGCTCTCCAGAACCCTGTAAAGTCACTTCTTGGCAAAGCCACCCTTTCAGAAGCCAGGAACTCCTCTACTGTCTTTTTCATCCTCCATCAAAACTTGCTAAGAAACCTTCAATAATTATGTGCATTTTATATGCGAGCATTGAGCTAGGAACTGCAGGTGAGGTAGAGATGAATAAGACACTGTTCCTAGACTTAGGGAGTTGTCAGTATAGTGAATAGCATAAGACAGGCATAAAAATAATGATACTATTTAGTAATTCAGGGCATAGTAGCTGCCATGGGAGTTCAATGGTGGGACAGATCACATCCAGCAGTGGGGAACTCCAGAAGGACTTATTGAAGAAA